TTCTGCATCCTTAACTAAATTACCACATTTGTCTGGAATAGTAATGTAGTTGTTTGATTGATTGTTTGGAATATTTCTATCACCAAGTCTAAGAAGTTTTGAAAATTCACCGTCACCACCTAAAATGCACTTGCATGTTTTTATGTAAGGTCAATTTTTCAACTTGTGACCATATATGCATGTATTTCATCAGCTCTTGTACCTCTTACAATGACAGGAAGAGTCTAACATCACCTGATAATAATAATGTAACACCACCAAATAACACGTCGTTTTGTCCGATATCTCTCAGTGTTCTATATAAAGCTTCAAATGCATTTTTGTGAGCCACTGTGCATTCATCCCATATTATCATTTTCATACTTTCAACACCCTTGCCATCCCTTCCTTTATTCGATATACAGCCTGTTCAACATGAGATAAATTAAGAAGTAGCTTGAAAGCTGAATGAACTCTCCTTCAATCAATGTTCCTGCAATTTATAATAATGCAACAGCCAGAGCAATTCGTTTTTGCAATCTAAGTTTTGCAAGAAGCAAGTTACTGACAAATGTTTTTCATATTCCACCTGGAGCATCGAGGAATATTACACCACCTTTACCATTTCAAACATTGTTAAGGATATATTTATAAACAAAATCTTGATCTTCTGTCAATTTTTCTTCATTTTTAGTAACAAATTTAAAAAGATCATCAACATTGTATGATATTTCCTTGATGTAATCCACAGCAGTGTTGTTTATTTCAGTCCTAACTGGTGAAGGTTGGCCCAAATCTTGGAGTAAACTTCCACCACATTGTAAAACTTTGTCTTCAAGGATGATTAAGGCTTCATTAAATAGTTTATCAGAATACTGGAGATCTATGTCTGGAGCAGCCCTTTGAATACTTTCTTTATGATTATGAAGAGGGTTTGAAATACCACATGTTTGTAACATCATTGCAAATAAATCTCTCAAATGTTTGGTGAATGTGTGGCAGCTGTTCCTTCAAGTGTTCTGTTCCAGTGACTGTTATTTTCCAACACACCCCTTAAATTACAAGCTTCTCCGAAACTGTTACATAATTCACCATTGACTCAAATCTTCAAAGGTTGTAGGACCAGGAACTGTGTGCAGTAACAATCTCAAAGTAAAAACCCCTCAAAATTAGTTGGATGTACTATATAAACTCTTCTTAATGGGGAACTAAATTTGAAACCTGGATGGCTTTCCACACTGGAATACTTGTATTCTTCTTTTCCACCTTTTTGTTGGGTTTTTCCGTCTGAAATAGGATGTTACTTCTGAATACAATAATGTTTTTATAAACTCATCAGCACAGCATGGTTCTAAAAGAGGCAGTAAGTGTAGTTCTAGGTCTACGTTCAATTCTCTGTAATACATTTTCATCATTAAAGGATACTATTTGACCAAATGCACAACTATTGGATGATGCTCGTGTATTGGAAATTCAAATATTCTCCATTTTCTAAATGCACAACTATTGGATGATGCTCGTGTATTGGAAATTCAAATATTCTCCAAATTGCTTCATTTGTACTTATGTATCTTCACAACTGATATGTTGAAACTTCATCTCTGACATTACCACCCTGTTCAATACCAAAGACAGCCATATCCGATTCCTTATTGACATATTTACAAACACATTTTATGCTTTTATCTGAATTGCATAATTCAACACTGATGTGAGCATTGCAAATTCTAGAGAAGTAAGGGTCACAAGGTACAGTCTAAAAACACGTGCAATTAGACCATGGCAGTTTTGATATATTTTTGGTTATTTTTGTAGTTCTCTTATAGTTTTCCATCCAATTCTGATTATAGGTATATGTTATAATCGGGTCTCCATATATCTGGTATGGTATTCTGTAAAACTTGAAGGTAAAATCACCAGCTGCCCAACATTTCTGGCATTTCCATCTTCTCTCATTGAAGGAATTTCATCAGACCATTTCTTTACCATATATTGTTCACAAATCTGCTCATACCACTAATATTATAGATTGCATGAGACCCGTAAATGGATTGAGAATCATGGCGATGAGCTACCAAATGTAATCCTTGCCTTTTTTCTCTCTCTTTCCCCTTCAGTTTCTCTCGAACGTCTTGTACACAGCTACCTTCCTTGTTTCTTAATTCATCAGATTCTTGTGC